ATGGGTATTATATTCTAAGGCATCAAATATGAGAAGTTATTGGGTGTTAGGGACAAGAGTGTTGTGGATGTATGTAGGGAGAATTTGAGTAGGAGTTTAGAGGAACAGTGATGGTTGAAGAGAGTGATAGGCAAGGAAAGATAGTAGGGCAGGTGCTAGAGGAGTCCTAATGGCCTAAGATCTAATCTCAGAAATTACTCAAGAAGAACTGTTAGGCCAAAATCCCACTAGAAAAGACCATTGTTTGGATGCACACAAATAACCTTGAAGGTGGATCGTTATCCTCTGACCCTTAGCTGTCTTTGGAAAGAAACTTTCCTTTATTCCTCTTATGGCCTTTAATGACTTTGTTGGTGGAGATGGGAGTTGATTTTTGAGAGAGACCCTCAGGTCTAGTAGTTCTTGGCATGTCCAACCTCCTACCCTATTATGTCAAGATTCTGGTCAATTTGAAAATAAGGGTTTATACATTCATCCATTTTGGGGTATTTGTGAAGAAGGGGCTCTAGATACCTAGAGGAGAAGAAATAATGAGTTTTCTAAGAATACCATTGTCTGATACTGTTCTTGTAGTGCACTCAGTCATATACTTAACTACCTTTATTCCTGATTTTTGTTCCACTTTTCATTTTTCATCTTTGGGTTGACAGTGTGGACAACAGCCAAAAACCTAACTGGGATCAGCTGAGTGAAAGTCAGTATTATTGGAATCCAGTTTCATTTCTTTCTTTTTTTTTAATATTTATTTTTTAGTTTTCGGTGGACATGATATATTTATTTTATTTTTATGTGGTACTGAGGATCGAACCCAGTGCCCCAAGCATGCCAGGCGAGCGTGCTACCGCTTGAGCCACATCCCCAGCCCCAGTTTAATTTATTTTTATTTTTTTTTTAGAGAGAGAGAGAGAATTTTAACTATTTATTTTTTAGTTTTTCAGCGGACACAACATCTTTATTTGTATGTGGTGCTGAGGACTGAACCCGGGCCATACACAGGCCAGGCGAGCATGCTACCGCTTGAGCCACATCCCCAGCCCTTAATTTCTTTATAAACAACAGGAATTTATTTTTCAGTTTTGGAGGCTGAAGCATCTTAGAGCAAGTGCTCTTCCTGGCTGGTAGATAACTGACTTCTTATATAGGTGGGGATGGGGAGTAGGGGAAACAAAACTATGGTGTCACTTCTTATAAAGGCACTAATTCCATTATGGGGATCTCACCCTCATGACCTCATCTAAACCTAATTACCTTGAAAAGGCAACATCTTCAAGAGTCATCATCTTGGAGGTTATGGTTTCAACCTAAAAATTCTGAGGGACACAGTTTAATCTATAGCATAATCTAAAGTATAATCTCTAGAATTGAAAGACTCTTTTAACAATTAGAAAGAGAAACAGTATAATTACATTGATGTTTAAGATCCATTCAGTGGTGACAAGTACATATAATTTGAAGTACAAAGAGAAGATGGTAAGGCATACCATCTCATGGTAGAAGTTTGTGAGGTCTGAAACAGGTGTACAAATATGTAGTAATCTGTGGATCCTAAACTTAGAAGTCAGGCTAGAGCATGGGTGGAGACATTAATAAGTATGGAAATAATGTGGTTACAGTGAGCAATGATCTAATCACTTATAAGATACTATGACTAATTTGATGGAGATGGGGAAGGTTTGAACAGATGTTTTTTTATTATTATTTTTTTCAGTGAAAAAGTGAATCCAGTGAAACACTTTTTAACGAATTTTGAGGATGTAAGTGATATTACCATCAGAAATAGGCATGCTTTAAATCATTTCTTTTGGAGAGAACACAGAACTAGAATTCAGGAATCATGCATTTAGGGSTCTCTGCATATCCTCCATATAACAGAAGTTTTTTTGGCTTTAAATTCCATCTTCAAATAATCTGATAAACATATTAGTTGTCAAATTATTAGAATATTAATAATTTTGATTTGAAGGTTTTTTTGTTGTTGTTTTGTTTGTGGATGGTAAGGCATACCATCTCATGGTAGAAGTCAGTACTAGAAACGTAGACGTGACACTGAGAAAAAGACTGGATTTGGGTAGGAGTTCTCTCCCAGGATATTTAGTAATGTCTAGGGCCAGTTTTGATTGCCACACTGGGGAATTAGTACCCATATCTAGTGGGTAGAGGCCAAAAATGCTGCCAACATCCTGATATGCACCCAGAATTCCTCTATATAAAGAACTATCTGGTCCAAAATCTTAAGTGCATAGGTTGAAAAACTCTGGGCTAAGTGGCACCATCCTGGAGTTAGGTAATTGAAAGTAGTACAGACAAACCTATTTTAGCTGATTCCAAAGAGCAATGTTCAAATCTGCCATATATATATGTGACATTATATATAGACTTAATTTTTCAGGTTGTTAATTATACTATTCATGACACACTAGATAATAAGCTTCATGCATTCACCACTGTCTGCCACAGTATCTTACCAGTGTTGGGCAAATAAAGTAAGAGGAATAAGTGAGGGGGAAAAAAATGAATAATTTTTGTTATGCTTAATTGTATTCTTTAGTTGACTTGCAAGGTGATGTATGTGTTTATAGGAATAGATAATATCTGTATGTTCCAAAGTTAGGTACTGGTATTCTCATTAAAATTAATGTATCATGTGTCTCATATTTTAGATGCCAGTTTAATTTTTATAGATTGGGTTATGCTGATTTGAAGAGGCCACAATGCATCTTGACATGTTTTCAGAATCAGTGAGCTATGCAGTAGTAGATCACTTGCCTAGAATATGCAAGGCCTGGCTTCAATTCCAGTACTGCAAAATAACAACAACACCGAGTCTTAAAGTCCAGTGAGCTGCGAACCATGCCTATGTTTTGCTTGCTTTAGATCAATGTTTTTCAGACCACTTAGTTGTGACCCATTGATGAATCTTAATTGATTTTGAGTCATGATCTATAAAAGAAAAATGAAATAGAAGATATTTAAGTATATCTCATGTAATATAGAGACAATTATTATTTATATATGTCAGTATATAGTGGAACTCCATATAATTTTTTTTAAGAGAGAGAGAACTTTTTAATATTTATTTATTTATTTATTTTAGTTTTTGGCAGACACAACATCTTTGTTTGTATGTGGTGTTGAGGATCTAACCCTGGCCRCACGCATGCCAGGCGAGTGCGCTATCGCTTGAGCCACATCCCCAGCCCCAACTCCATATAATTTTACTTTATTTTTTTTTTAACTTGGTTTTGATTTTWAAAAAATCTATATCTATTTGAAAAGGCTAGCTGCTTTCAGTTGTTTATTAGCCTACAGAATTTCTGAATTGAAGTTTCTCAGTAAATTCGTAGAAAATGTGGAATTATTGGAGCACAGTCTTTTTATAAGAGACTTTTTTAATATCAATTTTAAGGTCTTATAAATAGAAGATCTTATGAGAGTTACTATTTGTTGGTTCATTTAACAAACTAAGCATTTGTGCTGGGTATTCCACAGTCAACAAAAGATCCAGTCTCTATCCTTTGTGGTTTTGCTACTGGGCAAAAAGAAGGAATCAAGATAAAGAAGTTAAGTTTGTATTATGTTAAGTGAAGGTAGGACTTGATGGTGAAAGAGAAGGGAAGTGAGCCAGGTGCTGTGGCTCACACTTGTAATCCCAGTGACTTGGGAAGCTGAGGCCAGCTTCAGTGATTTAATGAGAACCTATCTCAAAAGGCAAATAAAAAAGGACTGGGGGTGTAGCTCAGTGATAGAATGTCCCTGAGTTCAATCCCAGTAAAAGAGTGGAGTGGAGGAGGGAAGTAATTTGAGTATGAGTTAAGAGGTTATAGTTTGAAATATTTGAAACCTCTCTGAGAATGGTGCTTGGAACAGAGAGCCCTGAAGTTGATGAGTAGCCAGCCAGCCATGCCAGTATCTTGATGAATGAACACCATATTAGAAATACAAATGTTGTAAGCAAGGTTTTGTGTGTTCATGAGGTAGTGAGGAAATTAGTATGGTAGAGTGAAGTGGGTGAGGGAAAAGGAGTATGAAAATATATCTGGGGTTGGAAGTATGATCTTCTAGACATTGGACGTACTTGACCTTTTTAACTCTTTGTGGATCAGAAAGCCCTTGGAAGGTTTTGAGCTGAGCAGTGATGAAAAAAATTTCATGTGGTTTAACAGAATCATTCTTCCTTCCATATGGAAAACAAACTGAGGTGGATTTGAAGGAACAGTGTTGTACTTAAGTTCAGTGGGGAAGTCAGAACTGGAGAGAGAAATTTAGTAGATATCAGTGAATGGATTAGGCCATTAACTGAGATGAGATTATCAAGATAATTTATTCCTGATTTGCCTGTCTGACACATGCTAAGTAGTGACATTACATTATGTTATTTGTTGGCTATGTGTAGATACTCTTACTCTCTAAATTTGTTAACTCTTGTCTATATAATGATTTAGGAATTAGTCTAGATGAATCAATTGATATATATTTAATATGTTTTTCCTTTAATTCTACTGTGAAACAAACTATCTTGGAATAGTTGGTGCTTTTAAAAATAGCTATTATCTTAAGTCTAAGGAATAAAAATTTTTGTATTCAAGATACTGAAAAAACACTTGTGAAAGTAAAAATACATTTTATTATATGATTTATTTTTATTTTTATTTGTTATTGATGGACCTTTATTTATTTGTTTGTTTAAATGTGGTACTGAGAATCAAACCCAGTGCCTCACACATGCAAGGCAGTTGCTCTACCACTGAGCCACAACCCCCGCCCCTATTTTATTATATTATTTTTAATGATTTTGATTGGAAGAGGTTACTATTAGCGTGGGGCAAAGCTATGAAACTGTGATATTCTAGACTTTATTGTACATCAGTTTTAAGTTGCCATTTTTCTTCCTTGAGTGTCAGTGTTCTTGTCTGTAAAATGAGGATGGCTAATAACTACCTCAGAATTTTAGAGAAGAATTAAATAATGCATTTTTCTGAACTTACTGTGTTTGTACTTAGGTGGCTGTTTATACAAAGGAAGCACTGGGACTTGTGGCTACCTTCAAGAATAAAAAATAGAAAATGGAACAACCATGTGTGTTATGTGAGGAAGAACAGGATCCAGAACCACAGAACATAAAAGAAACCAAACAAATAGATGATGAAGATGCAGAGCTGATCTTTGTTGGGGTGGAACATGTAAATGAAGATGCTGAACTGATCTTTGTTGGGGTGTCTTCAAATTCAAAACCAGTTGTTTCAAATATTTTGAACAGAGTAACCCCAGGTTCATGTTCACGGAGAAAAAAGTATGGTTGCCGAAGAAAAGATACTGTTCGTAGATTGCAGCCTACAAGTCATGTGACCCCTTCATCAGAAACAGTGACTATGTTGCCAGTATCTCAATCTGAATCAAGATCAACAGATAGTCCTATTATTATTGAGCCTTTGTCTAAGCCTGATGATAAAAGTAATTCACCAAAAGTTGTGCCTAGTAGCTCTTCAGAATCATGTTCTCCTGAGGTTACCCTCACAAGTTCATTGCATCATCCAGTGAAACCAGCACTTTCAGAAGGAGGTATGAATGAAAGTACTTGTATATCAAAGCGGTGTTCCAATTCTGAAGTAATTAGCATAAATCCCAAAAATCCTAAACTCAGTGATGGAATCACAGGAGGATATTCTTTAACTTTGTCCCCTCCAGGTGTTTTTAATAATAATAATCCTCAGCAGAGTACACCCAATGATGTCCATACCTCAGTAAGCCATGTTCAGAATGTATTATCTTTTCCCACAGCTTTTCCAAAGGACAGTCTCCATTTAAAGCCTATAACTATAAATCCTGATAGGGAAAATGGGTTGGCAAAAACAGAATTTTCAGATCTAGCAAGTCAAAATAAGACCTTTGATCCCAAGAAAGGGAATTTGATTCTATTACTTAGTGACTTTTACTATGGACAACATCAAGGAGATGGGCAGCCAGAACAGAAAACTCACACAACCTTTAAATGCCCCAGCTGTTTGAAAGTTCTAAAAAATGTTAAGTTTATGAATCATGTGAAGCATCATTTGGAACTTGAGAAGCAGAGGGGTGACAGCTGGGAAACCCACACTACCTGCCAGCATTGCCACCGGCAGTTTCCCACTCCCTTCCAACTACAACGTCACATCGAAAGTGTACACACTCCACAGGAGCCCTCTGCTGTCTGTAAAATTTGTGAGTTGTCATTTAAAACAGATCAGATTCTTTTAGAACACATGAAGGACAATCATAAGCCTGGGGAAATGCCCTATGTGTGCCAGATTTGCAGTTACAGATCATCAGCCTTTGCTGATGTGGAAACACATTTTAGAACATACCATGAAAACACTAAGAATCTACTTTGTCCTTTTTGTCTCAAAATTTTCAAAACTGCAACACCATATATGTGTCATTATAGGAGGCACTGGGAAAGGGGTGTTCACCAGTGTTCTAAATGTCGGCTACAGTTTTTAACTTTCAAGGAGAAAATGGAGCACAAGACCCAATGTCATCAAATGTTTAAGAAGCCTAAGCAACTAGAAGGATTGCCTCCTGAAACAAAAATTGTTATTCAAGTGTCACTGGAACCTGGTCAACCAGAATCAGTGAATGTAGCGTCTATTATTCTGAGTACAACTGATTCTGAACCATCTCCTCCCAAATCTAAAAATAGAATTTCCAAAAAATCTCATTAATTCTATTTTGGGAAACCAAAAGCAAATATTTCAGTTTGAATAGAAGAAAAAAAAACCATGAAAACAAAAAATATAAACCATACATTATTCAGTAGCACCAAAAATAGTGAAACTAATGAATTGAGATTTAAGTTCATGCATAGGGTTTTTAAATTTTTTTCTTTCGTTCTTTTTTGTGGTGATGGGGATGAACCAGGACCTAGTATGTGCTGAGCAATTGCTCTACCATTGAGCCATGCACCACATTCCCACTCCCTGAATTTTGAGCTTTTATATAATATATTACCTGGTTTTTATGTTAACTATCTGGTTCAACATATGAAAGGTGCTTGTATATGATGTTTGAGTGGGGGGAAAAAAAAAAGTGGAAGCCTATTTATTTTGTCAGTATTTTATGTTACTCCTAAGCTGGAGAGATCTTTCTTCTATATACAGAATTTGTAGAGGTTTTGAAGTATTTAATTTTATTTTTAAACTTTTTCTGTATATTACACATTTCACTGTTAACTCTAATCAGACTGGAATGACTTTGTTATGGCTTGATCCCTTTATTCATGAACTCTTAGAAGTGCCTGTGCAGTGTGAGTGTAAAATAACCTGGTTTTGAAAGCCTTAGTGTGATGTTGAAGGAGAAGCTGTGGCATGGATGGAGGTGAAGACTTATGTATAAGTTAGGCAAAAAGTATTTGACCCCTTATCCCAGTTGAGGGATAGGCACATTCTAGTCKTGGAGCCAAGGCAGAAGGAACACAGCCTAAGAATGTCTTTGCCTAATAGAAGAACATCCCAAGGAAGCAAAATCATTCTTGAAAAATGTCTGCATTTGGTGAAGGACTCCTGCATATATTAAACAGCTGCTCAGCATCTGTATTTTTATTTTTTTTTTTAAAGAGAGAGTGAGAGACAGACAGAATTTTTTAATATTTATTTTTTAGTTCTCGGCGGACACAACATCTTTGTTTGTATGTGGTGCTGAGGATCGAACCCGGGCCGCAYGCATGCCAGGCGAGTGCGCTACTGCTTGAGCCACATCCCCAGCCCCTGCTCAGTATCTTTAGCTTCATATGAAGCCACAACAGTAATTAGAATGGGAACTGGCCCCAATTAATTTCCTGTTGAGTGATCCAAAGGAGAATTTTTTATTTCCTGTTGAGTGATCCAAAGGAGAATTTTTTATTCTGGCTAGAGGTTAGTGAAGAATGAATTCTCCTTGTCCTAATAAGCCACAGCAATAAAGCATGTTATAATTCCCGAGGAAAAGAAGCACTGGTATCTGAAGTTTGAACTGTACTGGACCCAGAGTGTCTGCTGAAAGGGGCCATACAAATGATGACTGTCCAGTTAATGGGCTGAGCTAAATTTAGTTCTTCCACTGATAAGCTGGAATGGGGGCTTGTCCAAGAACACTAGGTACAGTGCACCAAAATAGCCCAGGGTGACTGATTAAAATTAAACCCATATGGGACCTTATATTTTTCAGCACATGTGTAACTTACCATAATTGAGTATATGAAGCTTGCAGTTTTGTGTCTTGGAAGTGAGTATATTACGGTTAGTAGGGTTTTTTTTTTTTATAGTATTTATAATTTCCTAACTGATTACACTAATGAATCTCTTTTTTATAATTTTAAAATTTGTTCTAGTTAGTTAAAATGGCCCAAATGTATTGTCTGTCCTTATCTGATAGATCCTCCTATTTAATCTCTAACTATACTAGGGAGGAACTTTTTCCATTTGCCCTCCCCAAAGGCTGTTTCATTGAACTGTGAAGTACTTTCTGAGCATTGGTTCCTAAACATCAGCAGCCTGAGCTGCTGTGAGTTCCCAGGGTTGTCTATCTCCCAGGGCTTGTTCTAGAGTCATCTCTTATTCATTACCCTCATCGCAGGTACCCAGCAGCCTCTGTTCATCAATCAAGGAATCTACTAGCATCCTGGCTGTAGACATAGGTCTGGAAAAGTCTTTTTCATTCTTCCCCTGCTCCTTTATTCTCTCCTCAATCTAATTAAATTTTCTAACTTTCACAAAAAGCTGGGAAGAGGTAATCTTCAGGTCATAATATTAGAATTTGGGGAAGAAGGACTAAAAATAATTAAAAGAGGTTGTTAGTAGATTTTGTTGTGTTTAATTGCTCCATGCTTGCTTATTTGATTAATTCATTCACACCTTGAACGGTTTGCTAGGTCTTTTCAGTTAGTTTGCTTGGGCCAAGGCATGTTACGAAAATATTACCCTGAACCCTTTCTTTAGATATAAGAAAATGTATGTGTATGTGTATGACTGTCCCACTTGTTCTGGTGGAAATTCTTACTGTTTAAAAATCTGCAGACTTTTGTGTATTGTGTTTCTATGGTAAAAGTAAGAAATGTTCTAGTTGTAAATTTTAGTGATTGCTTACTGTTAGTGGTACTGTGAACTGTTTGCTGTTTCACTAAAGCATGCTCCTAAGGAGTACAAATTGTCAGTTATTGCCAACTACAGGTTCCAGTGGTGTGGCCCCTGCCTACCTCTTCCCTCTTTCATTCTGTGATACAGCTCTACCATTTCCCTAATTGATATGCTGTTTTGATATAATGGCCTTGTTATTCCTTAAGCAAATCATATTTTTTCCTGATTTACAGGCTGCACATGCTATTCTCTTAGAACGCTTTCCCCTAGGCCTGCATGGCTTGCTACCTCACTGAACTGTTCAACACTTCCTTTGGTTCTTAGAACAACTAGAAATCTCCCYCACATTTTTTATAACCTTATTCTTTCTCCTTAAAGGCACTTTACCTCCCTCCCCCCACTTCTTTCTTCCCTCTCTAATATAGTTAAATTTCCTAGATTTTCACAAAAAAAGCTGGGAAGGAATCATTAAGGGCTTTGCTTCTCTTTTAGAGTTGAGCTAGCTTGAGTCAATTTCTGTGCCTGCAACCAAAAGAAAGTTAATATAGTGAATTGAGTCAAAGGGAGCTTTCTTTGGTTTTCTATTGATAGCTTTGTATTTTTTAAGGCAATGTCACTTTGTTTTGTTTACAAATATATTTAATATGTGTCCAGATTACTATTTTATTATTATTCTTGTATGAATTTCCTTGTCTATTTTGCTTGCTTGTTCTTGCAGATGGAATTTATTATTTTATTAATGTTGCCAAAAATTGTAAGTAAAATAGCAATTATAATAATAAAATGATTTGTGAAAGAATGTTTTTGCTATATTGTCTTTTCACCAATAACATGTTTTTAGCTTTGTTTGATTTTTATTTGGTACCTCTTGCCAGTTGTGGTGTTGTCATATTTCTTGAGTCAGCACTTCTAAATAATGTGTATGATGGAGTTAATGGGTTTCTTGATCTTGGTTTTAATGAAAAATTTTAATATTTTAAAATATACTCATTACTTTTATACTATTAAAAGTAATGAGTATATTTTAAAATCTTGTTTTCATTTTTAGACTCTTTAAAGACTTGTTTTATTGGGTAGTTTTCAACATCTATCAAGATGGTCATTTACTTTCTCAACTTCTCTTATAGAAAACTTTTTTTTTTTTTAAAGCAGAAGTAGCCTACTTGGTAGAATATTATTTCTATTACTTACAGCCCTATTTCTATTTTCATTTATATTAAATTAAGTACATTTCCTCTTCCTCTCAGATTGTCACAGTTTTTTGTTTTTGTTTTTTTCCTGGTACTAGTGATTGAACGCAGGGGCTCTTAACCTCTGAGCCATATCCAGCCATTTTTATTTTGAGACAGGGTCTCACTAGGTTGCTCAGAACCTTGCTAAGTTGCTAAGGCTGGCTTTAAATTTATGATCCTTATTTTTCAGACTCCCAAGAAGCTGAGGTTACAGGTGTGCCACCACTATGCCCAGCTTGTAGTTTTATCAGTGTTTCTTATTTACTTTTTCCCAAGAAGCAACCTTCAATTTGCCTTACTATCCCAACTAGTTTTATTTTTGTTGTTCTCCAGTTTTGCCCTTATTATTTATATCCTTTCTGCTTACTTTTGGATTGTTCTTTTTTTTAATATTTATTTTTTAGTTTTAGGTGGACACAATATTTTATTTTTATGTGGTGCTGAGAATTGAACCCAGTGCCTCATGCATGCTAGGCGAGTGCGCTACCACTTGAGACACATCTCTAGCCCCTGGATTGTTGTTTTCTATGACATTATTTTAAAACTTTTATTTTTACTTAAATAAGGAAAGAATTTAAGACTTCTTTCTCTGTTTATAGTTTTTCCTAAATCTCAAATATTTTGATGCATATTTAGAGATTTTCATTCTTAATATATTTGGTGGGTAAGTTAATTAAAAATTTTAAAAATTTGCAGATTAAGCAGTTTTATTCATTTTTATTTTAATTTTTGTGGTGCTAGGAATGACGTAGGGCCTGTGCTTGCTGAATAAGCASTCTACCACAGAGCTACATAAGTGGTTTAATTTTTATTTTTACCAATAATTCAATTTTTCTTGGAGTGTTGGGATATGTGTGTGTTTATGTGTACACACTGGCATGTATACTTATTACCATTGTTTTCAAATTACATAGATTATTAAATATTTTTTATTTCTTTGGTAAAATTAGTTTTATTATAGAAACTTTTTCCCCCAAGTGATATTGCTAAATTTTATTGTTATATTGTGTACATATATGAATATATAACAACAAATCCCATTAATATGTACAACTATAATGCACCAATTTTAAAAATGTGGAAAAAGAAAAAGGAATGCCTTTTTCCCAAAATGAATGCGTATAATAGGTAAAAATATGAAAATATTCATTTGAGACTAAATCCAAGTAATAGAACTTAAAAACCAAGCCAAAGATCAAAGTAAGTTAAATATATACTCACCATAAATAGTATTACTCAGTTATCAAAAGTAATGGCAGTAGGAGTTGTGGCAACACAAAATTTTTACTAATGCAGAATGAGAAAGCAACGTTATAAATTTATGTGTATATTTTATAATTAAATTTATGTGTATATTTTAGAATTTATGTGTGTATATTTTAGAATGGCAAAGTGTCTGTTGTACTCGTATAATATCTCTGAAAAAGGATGATAAATACTAAATGTAATTGAGTTATTTAATATGACTGTCATATTAAATAACATTTATGAGTTATTTAATATGATAGTGATTATTTCTTTGGTCTTCCAGATGTTATATAATTTAGTTCTTTTGCTTTAAAAAAAAAAACAAAAAACATTTAATTAGAGTGGATTTTATTTCGGTGGGTAGCCCTGTTAGACTCTTTTCTTTCTGGTTATAGGATTGAAATGAACATTTGCCAGTATTGATAAGATTGCTACCAAGACACAGAGACTCTTAGGGTAAGTATTAGCAAAGTATGACCTTTAGAATATAGATTTTTAAAGCATTGTTAGAGACACTGGGTGGAAAATGAGATCGCCAGAGAAACCATATGTACCCTGCAAAGCCTAAAATAAGTACTACTTGCTGTTTTACAGGGAGAAGTTTGTTGACCTCTGCTCTAGATTATGAGTTAAAATTTATTCTTTATTCCTGCAAGCAGGCTAGTAAATAAGAAGGGCTTTTGGTATCAGTGTGATAGGGCTATAATTTTTTGATTATATCAATTATATATATAGTGATAAGTAGTCCAAAGCAGTGGAAAGAGACTGATGTCCAGAAAATGACAAAATGTCTTAGGGACATGTGAGAGAGAGCAAGTGTAGCAGGAACACAGTTGCACATTTAAGAGAGGGAGCAAAGAGGCTACAAAGTTTTTTTATGACCTAGCTTCAGCAACAACTCTGTCACTTCTAGAGTATTCTATTCATTAAAAGTGAATCACTAGAGCTGGGGTTGTGGCTCACCTAGCATGTGTGAGGCACTTCAATCGATCCTCAAAAAGAGGGCAAACCAAAGGGTGCCAGAATGTTTCAGGCTTCAGCTTCAGGCCCTCTT